TACCTGGGACATGGCGGTCCGCTGGGTTTGGGATCAAGCTGCACCTGCTGCTGCCCGAGACAGGGTGTAGTAACAATGCGAGAAGTGGAGTCTGCGAGAAGGAAGAGGGGAATGCAGAGTGGCTGCTGGAAGGGCCCAGTTATGGGTCTGATGCTGAGTTTTGGTGTTTGGCCCAGCATCAGCCTAGAAGGTCTTGCAGCTGCTGCGGCCGGGATACACCGCACCCTATCTGCAAAAACCTGTGACACATTGCAGGATTTCCGACGAAAACAGCAAGACTCGCAAAAGTATTTCACCCTATCTGCACATCCAGGCGACACATTGCTGGAAATCGAAAGAAAGAACAAGAACATCCGAAAGTTGCTGGAGAAGACTCCGTGGCCGAAGTTGGAGCGCTTTTCGGCGAACGGACATACCTACAGCCTGCCTGTGCGAGCCGAGAGCAGAGAGCTGTCACATCGACCGGCGAAAGCCAGGCTGGAGTACTTGGCCGGCTTCTTCGATGGGGATGGCTGCGTTGCTTGTGAGTCAGGATTGTCGGGGTGCTACTTGTCGATAGCGCAGTCCTTCGACCAGGCGGAGGTTCTGATGCTTTTTTGCGAAACCTTTGGGGGAAGCATCACGCGCAGGGGGAGTGGCATGGGCCTTCGGAAACCTCTTCTGCAGTGGATGGCATATGGGCCGTCTGCCCGAAACGCCTCTCAGCTCCTGGGACCACATAGCATCACCAAGCAGAAGCAGCTGTTGTTGGCGGCCCAATGGCCTGAGGCAAAGTCCTGCAGAGAGGAGTGCAAGGCCGAGCTGCGTAAGCTTAAAGAGTACGACTCGGCGGTGGCTGGTCCGTGCAGCTGGGAGTACTTCGCTGGTTTCTTCGATGCTGAGGGCCACATCAAGCAACAGCATGGAGGAGCCTCCCTGCAATTGGAGATCGGTCAAAAGCACCCTCAAGTCCTGAGGTCTCTTTGCGATTTCCTGTTTCAAAGCGGGGGCCTCGATGCAAGCCTCCGGAAAGTAAGAGGGTATTCCTTTTACGTTTTGAGAATTTCTAGCTTGTCACATTGCAAGCGGATCTTACAACGCATGCTGGAAGCTGGAATGCTAAGTAAAGCGAAGCAGGCAGAAATTGCACGGGGCTTGACAAAGCAGAATGCAGTGCAAGCAAGTGCTCTGCTGGCATGCCTGACTGGAAACCAAAAGTTTGGAAAGACCCTAGACGGCGCTGGCCGAGAACGGGCGAGAAAGATAAGAGCTGCCCAAGCAAAGGCAGCTTACTCGAAGGCACGAGGGAGGCTGACTGAAGCTGATGACAAGCAGTGCGAGGTGGCCTTGCTTAAGCGAGAACACGAACTGCTCAAGGCCCGTTACGAGAGCCAGGAGTTGATTCAGTACATTCGCAAGCTACAGAGGTTACACAGGAATTCGTGGAAAGGTCCGCTTGCCCGGGGTATGTGATGACGACCGGGTAGACCTGCAAAGCATGCTTCCCAGTGCAGCTTCCCACAGAATCACTGCTTTCCGCTTTCCTGACGTCCTAACCCGGGGTCGTCAAAACTGAAAGCCTCGTGTCACCGGAACGGTTCAGGCTTGAATTTAAGGAGATGTTTCTCCTTGTGCCTCGGCAGTTAAAACAAGTCACAGAGCATAGTATCAACCGAGGCAGTGTAGTCAGTATTTTTGTTTGAGGAAGTTTGAGGAGCTCCCTGGCAGGATGGAGGAGGCCCCAGGCAAGAAAACCAGACCCAAGCACTGCCTTATCACCGCGAAAGTCCCTAAATCGGACAAAAACAGACTGGATGATAAGTGGTTTTCTTCCATTTGCTCGGGCCAAGCTCTGAAAGCTCAAAAACCACAAGGACTTCCATCCAAACCCACTCGTCAGGCCAGGGTACTGTGGTTTTCATGGTATAGGCTCTTTTTTGCCTTGTTTTGTTGCAAGGGCTCTTCTCAAGCTCTTGTTTTCTGTCAGTGTAGTAAACCCAGTTGGCGCCGGAATAATGGCCACAACAAGACATAGCCATGATGTGTTAGAGCAGCACATCACTACAGACCGGCCCTGCACGCTAAACCCATGACTTGCTAACACATAGATTACCCTAAACCCTAGAAAGCCTAGACCCGACAATCCGGTGCCCTCCAAAGAAATTCGTCCCCAAGCTGTTTGATCTGAAGGCATGCTCCAGTGAAGCGATTGCATGGCTTCAAGGGAACCCTGCTGCGCAGGGTTCTTTTACAGGTTCTAGAAGGGGTTTCGGCTTCAAACCTGAGCACTTAGGATTCCGGGTTTAGGGATTGCAACTGCAAACCTCGAGGTTTGGAGTTCGAGTGTGGCAAGATAGATGCTGACTATCGTTCCATGGGCAACTACATTGTCTCTCGTAGTCGCTGGGGCCAGGGACGGAGAGTTCTCGTGGACAGCTTTCACGAGCATCTGTATGTCTGTAGCTGTACCCACATCTACATCTATGCATGTACGTATGTATGTATGTATGTATGTTCTACATATACACATACATATACATATAAACACATACACATACACATATACATGCTATCTGCACCTGAAACCTAATATGATGATGCGGTAGATAGGCCGGATTCAGCCTCGTGTATTTAATAGACATTGCACGCTTCTTGATATTGCGGTAGTTAGAGGGTTCAGCATGGTTTCAAGATGTTTACAGCATTGGACATTGCATTTGCAGCTCCCTTGAAGATGTTAGCGGAACCGAGTCAGGCCGTTGACCTGCCATGCAGGTGACCTGAAGAAAAAAAGACAGCGGCTCTCCAATAGCTTTGAGTTTGTAGGTTTGGGGCTAGCGTAGCTCCCGAGACAATGCTTCCTTCGTGCACTTCATGCATACTCTCGGGAAGCAAGTATGGTAGTAACATAGAATCTATTGCATGTTATCGTGCAGTTCTTGCCGCCCGGCACTTCGTGCGGATCGTTCCTCAATTCTCGCGCGCGAGCACCCGAACATCCCGAAACAGTTCAATCGACGCCGTACGCCGTAGGCCCTGTAGCATTCGATGCTCCAAGTCGCCACGACGAGCAAAGTCATCGTCCGCACCAACTTCCTTTAGTCTGTGCGTGGGCTTCAAGGCTTCTGTTCAGTTTTCCGGCTTTGGGTTCTGCATGTGTTCCCGTGCTAAGCCTATAGTGCCGTTGCTGTCGCACTAGCAGCATGGTGAGGGTCTCACAAGGAGAAGGGCACACGTATCCCGATCAAAAGCCATGGACATAAACCATGATTGACCTGCGTCTGGCTCGAGTGTTCGTGTCTAAATGCCACCAGACCTTCAAGCTGGTACTTCAGGCTGCGTTTAGGATCAGTAGTTTTGATTTGTTTGAGAAGCCATCAGCCCTGTGTGTCCCGGCTCGCTGGCTTGCCGGATATATTGGCGGGTTTACTTGGTGAATGTGGTGAGTGCATGCTATAGGGCTCCTCGTGCATTTTGTGAGGGTATACATTGGGCTTATATAGCTGAATATAGTTGTTGTTTGGGGTGGAGGCTGCAGTTTTGAGGTTTGGGGGGCTAGAGTTTTCGATAGCACTGCTTGTCCCTAAACCGTATACTGATCCCAAATCCTAAACACTGTGCACTTAAGCTTAAACCTCAGCCGTTTCGATCCCCCTTGTCGCTTCGGGTTGCAGAGTGACCCTTTTGCTGGTAGCTTCTACTACGGACAGTGCGATTCGGCTTAGGATTCAGGTGATTCGAGGTGTACCTGGACCCTGAGTTCGTCATGATACTTTGTCTGTATAAGTCCTGAAGAAAAGGATGGAGTTTATTTGGGGACAGGGTAGGGTGTAGGGCGAGAGCTCGGTTCAGAACCATACCGACTCCGAAGCCGGACTTGCGCTGCTCTCGTGACGATCTCGGCTCTCAGAGGTCAGGGAAGGCAGTCGCATGGACGGGTTCGGGGTCCCTAGAACTTAGCCTAGGTGTGAGGGTGTATGGCTTAGGGCCACTGTGGGCGAATAATGCACGTCTTCGGATCCTAATACTTATCGCAGAGTTGGGAGTATTCTCGTGAAGACACGAGAGCGCACAAGAACACAATCACAGGAGGGCTTGAGCTGTATCCAGAATCGGAGAGCGTGGCGTAGTATAGTACTTGGGAAGAGTATCCCCTTCTAGTGCCGACCTGATTATTGATTATTTATATGAATCAGATGCCCCAAGGAACCCTAGTGTACAGTACTTGTCAAAAGGCTGCTGGGCTATGGTATTCAAAACTTGCGTGACTGGGATGCTAGTCAGGCTGGACCAAGCTACAAACCGAAGCCATAGACTCTGTAGGTGCCTTACATGCATGTTGATGGGAGCTGCAGCCACCTCGCAGGCGCCAGTTTCCGGACAACGGGATGGGTGGATGATGGTTGGTGTCACCGAAATAGGTCCTAGGTGATCATTACAACAGCGGCTTCGATATATCTCTTCGGCGCTTTTTCCTACCATGAGCTTCCGAGCATCATCTTCGAACCGATCCTTGTTGTTTTCATTGTGGTGTTTAAAGAACATTCGGCGACTATCAGTGTTCGGATTCAGGGTTGCTGTGGGCACGGTTCTTTGGGCCTTCTCGGGTGGCATTCCAAAGGGTTCGGGTTGCGCCGAAGCCGGACACCGTGCGAAAGGTTAAGCCCCGAACCTCAAGCCAAAAACCCTAAACCGCGAACTTCAAACTGATGCAAGCCCATGCAAGGGCCAAGACCCTTTTCCCTAATCGGACAGTAGGCAGTAGCAAGTACACCAGGTCTGGGTCCCAAAACTAATCTCTGCTGTTCGGCTTAAGCGTGGATTAAGCATCCGCTGTCATTGATTACAAAGCTGCGAGGTGACTGACCCTGCAAAATGTAAAATGTGTAGGACTCAGGGTGTGAGACTGTCGGACCTTGTGCAACGTTTAGTTTGAGTTAACTTCTCCACAGATAGTTCGCAGCCGCGACATGAGGCCTTTTGTGGCGGAAGGGTTAGCAACTTGAGATTTGCTGCTGGCCATGGCGCTGCGAAGAAAGAGGCAGCGCGCAGGCGCCGGGGAGGAGTTTTGCGAGTGCTGTCGGTGAGTGTACCAACACATATTTTGAGATTGTTTGCGAAATTGTTGTTTGGGGCTGTGGGAGTCCCTCTCACAGTAATTACGAGGATCTTAGAGGGTGATTCAGTAAGCATGTGTGGCTGCACTTCATTGCGCAGTCCTGTCTCCTACCACAAGAAGCCGCGGGGCCAGCCGAGAGGGGTCACGTCTACTCATCAAACTTCCTCTTAAGCCCCATTGAACGGGTCCCCGCAGTTCCTGTGGAGAAACCAAGAGCATGGTTCATGTCAAAGAGCCTGGGAGGTCCAATTGACAGTCAGCCGATCTGAAAGAATCTGAGCAATTTACACGGGTTGGTGCGAGGGTGTTGCGGGGCTCGGGTTTAGGTTTGATGGCCAAGACCAAGACTGCGGAGTTCTTGGGGCGGAGGCGTGATTGAGTAGCCGATCCCTTGCGGTTGTTCGGCAGTATAGTTTACATTCCTCAACGAAATATACTTTTCCAACTTACTTAGTCCCCTGACCCCTCAAGCCTATTGGCCTTTATTCTATCCCGAATAGCAAGCCTTATAGCCTTATAAAATGCCTTATAGTAGCCCAGTACCGGAACCTTATAATAGGACCCTAAAACCCTCTTTTTCGTTGAATTAAAGCACGCAGGCGCCTTGTTGGCGCTCTTGACTGTCCTGGCCTGGCGGCCACTGTCTTTTGCAGCGCCGGGGACGAATGAGAAGGACGCCGATCGAAATTGCAGGGTTTAGGGGTTTAGGGTTGATCCAAATTACGGAAAGTTTATAGGGATTCACGATTTGGTTTTGGTTTAAGAGTGGTGAGTGGAGGTTTGGGGTGCTTAGGGGGTTTAGATTACCGGGTTGTCAAGCGATAGACCCTATGAGTCCATTTCTTGCTACATATAGTCTCCATCATGATTCTTCATCGTCTTTCCTTGTTTGGTTAACCAATTCGTATTGTCAGGATCCTACAATTTAAATTTGGTTAAACGAAAAACGAAGCAGCCCAAGCCCTGAAACTCTGAACCTTTAACCTCCAAAACCTACATCCCAAGCCGAAACCCTACACCCTCAGATCCTTCACCTGCCCCTAAGCCTTAATCTTTCGCATTTCTGGCGCAGGCCAAGATTGAGCCAACTGGGCCGCAATTGCGTTCTCGGGATGTCCAACGCGGGACTTTTGCGGTGTGGGGTTTAGGGTTTAGCATCGAGGTCTTCGGGTATGAGCCCTTCTGGGTTTCAGGATGTCGATGACTTCGAGTTAAAGACATTCAAACCCATGAGTTCAGAGATCATGCAGCTTTATGGGCTGCAAGTGGTTCGGGATTTCGTCCCTCGCAGGCTTGTGATTGTGGAGCCTTTCGGCTCTTCAGTTCTAGGTTTAAACCCAAAACCACAGCTGGGCCCCAAACTTTTTCCCTTCTCCTCAGCCCTAAAGCTTAAGATCCCAGACCCTGAACTCTGAGACCTACCCCGAACTCTGAGACCTACCCCCGAAACCAGGCAAAGCTTGAGCTAGAGATATCTTCTGAGGTTCTACACCATGGACATGCTTCTCGTCGGAAAGGAGTTGTTTCAACCCTTTTGGGGGCCCTAAAACCCTAAACCCTAAACCCTAAACCCTAAACCGGTCTGGGAATGCGCCTTAAGCCAGGTAGTCTCAGCAGCCGCCTAGTCCTATGTTCAAGGTATCTGCGCTTCTGGCAGTTTGACGGCTGAGACAGAGAGAATTCAATGCAGAATTCTGCAGAGCCAACAATTTTGTCTCGGAACCGGCATGTAAACCCCGATGTTTCCTATGGCCCGTGTTATAGCGACCGCAGACTTCGTCCCATCCTCGCCCCATCCGTTCAAGAAACCCTCAGGTGTCCTTATGCACAGAGGACCTGGATAACTCTGGAGGAGAAAGGTGTGCCCTACACTCGCACACTTGCCTCGGGTCGGCATTGCTTATTCAATTTTGGGCTAGCTAAGCTAAGTTTCCTGGTTGCGCTGTGGCACATGGCAGACTTCAGAATTTTCACATACTGGTCTTCCTTATTAATGAAACGGCTTTGTTGTTGCACGTGCTTGCGCGTCAAAACTATGCGATAAATTTTGCGTCTCGGTGGCACTTTGGGTACTGAGTTTAGCACTGAAGCCTCACCACATACCCCAAGCCCAAACCCTAAACCATCCTAAATCCACTAAGGTAAACGTCCGAAATGCCACGGAGCGCGAGTGGTATGTGAAGAACATCAATCCTTTGGGAAAGGTTCCGTCCATTCGTGACTTGACGGACGGAACCGTTCTGTACGAGTCGGAGATCATCAACGATCCGTGCCAGAGCAAGTTGTATGTTTGTGTGTATGCGTGTGCGTGCAAGCATTTTTGTTGTATATACGGCCTTAGGTAGGCAAGGTTCCAAACCTCATTCCGTAGAAGGCTTGAAAAGGGCGCTGCAATTTTTAGTCCTTAGACTTACTGACCGTTAAGCCCCATGTTCAAGAACCCAACTATGGCTAAGATATATCCTCCAAAAGGCACCCATGGACCCTTAGGGATCGTGATCCGAGGAGTACCTGGAGCAGAAGTTCGCAGATTCTGGACCTGCTTTGATGCCACCGTCTGCAGCTGGGGCTGCCAAGGTCAGACTCTGGAACCACCACTTGAACAACAAGTGTTTTGGGCCAGCAATAGTAACAGGTTTGGGGCGGTCGGCCTCCGTTTTGGTGATCCCACAGCTCAATGTCCACACGGCTATGGGGTCATAAGCTTCAGCGCACGGAGAGTCGCAAGAAGCCGGGTCAGGTTAGCACCAGCGCATTTCACCTTCTTGATGAACAAGAACGAGACTGCAGTGACGGGGCTGGATTCAAGTCCACACCTTTTCTCTACCTAGACTCGCAAAATCACACCCTAAACTGCACGGACGTCATCTCAGTCCTGCTTCAATACCCTCACGATCTTTGAGTCAAGCTATCGGCAGACTGCCCCCAAAGCCCTAGTCTTGTGACTCATGTGTATTCTCAAACACGCAGGTTTTCCAACGGACTTGTTCTATGTTGCATTGAGGCCCACACCGTGTTGATTTTGGGCTAAATTAAATTAACTAGCGGTTTCACTTTCGAGCCAGGTGTTCGAGCTGTTTCGGGCTTGTCTGGGTTTCTAAGGTTTATAGAGTTTAGGGTTCATCTGGTCGGAACCCTTTGATCATCTCACCGACCTCATGGCCCTCATCACTTTATGCTGTACCGCCACGAATTTCGAAGCTCTTCCCCAACCATGCTTCTGTCTGACTTAGACATCCCAACCCCCCCCCCTCAATAATCTTAAACCCGAACTCCAACAGCCCCAAGCTTTTCAAACCCACCTCTCAGGAGCCAGACAAGGCAAAGGCCTTGGAGGAGGCTCTGCAATACTACGAGGAGTCGAACTGTCAGGTTTTGGGCATTGGTAGATGGGCCATCCAGTCGACATGTTTCACCTGGATTTGGGGAAGGGTTGATTGACGGTTTGAGAAAGGGGCCGAGCTAAGCATGTGGCATGTGTGCTGATTTGGGTAGCTTATCTCGGTGTTTCAAAGCCTTCGATATCTCCACACGATCGCTGGTGGATTGGGTTGCATCGTAGTTGTGATGTTCAGGCAACCCCACAAACCCCAGACTTCGAGACCGTAACCCAACACAGCTTTGGTGTGGGCTAACATCTTGATGCCCCCTTAAAGATGAGTCCAAAACGTACGTGCTGACTTGTAGCTTCTGGTCCCTATAGTCTGAAGATGTCTGAAGTCTTCAATCTGAAGGACAATTTGAAGGGCCCTTTCCTGCTTGGTGACGAGTTCACGCTGGCCGACGTCAGCACCCGGGCTTGATTGCATGTTGGGTGGGTGTGGCTCCAGGGAGCAATGTTAGTAAACCGATTTGGTGGAGTACTTGTGGATGCGTAGGGTGGTCTGGTCGGTGTTCAGGGTTCTGGAGATTCGGGTTGCAGGGATGTGGGAGTTTCAGAAGTTTCGTTGAGAACATAAGGGACCCTAGCGCAGACCCTCTGCCCTATGCCTGTTGTTACATGAAGCATCACGGAGCCTTGAAGCAACTACCCCTGGTTTCGGTTTAGAGTGTTTCCTGGCTCCGGGCGCCGGCTTGTCGGGTTTATGCTGGTATAGGGGGGCCATTTGTCGGGGCTCATGCTACTCATCGCTATTTTCGGCATTCCGATAGTTCGTGAAATTAAAGGACCCTTAAAAACAGAAGCGACCCTTAAAAGAACTTTCCCTGGACGTGTGGACCAGGGCCTGGGAGGTTGTCGTAGTGTCAGGCTGCCAGGCATTGTCCTACGTGTCGTTCTTGCGCTTCAACCGGGCAGCCGAAATCTTTAAAAGTTCATGGAGCTTCAGAGCTACCCTGCGCAAAGGTCTCGGCAGGCCCAGAGAAACTGCCAACTTGTCCTCTCCACCGAATGCGGACCCCTGATGAACAAAGTCTCTTTCAGGGCTTGAATAATCGGATCCCGATAAAGGCCCTTTGAAGGCACGGTGGTTTCCGTTACTGGCAAAGCCGTTCAGGTGCCTTGCCATTTTTCGAGCGTCTCATCTTCTCTTGCCGACGCTTCAAGGACTCCGAACGACAGTTCGAGAGGGTCTAGGGTTGAGTGTTGAGTGTTTGTTGGTACCCTTCCTGCTGCAGAACTGAGAGCAGGAGAGTATGAGACTCCAGATACGAAGCGAGCTGTATAGAGCGTTGAAAACTGTGAGGACCCCACGTCCAAGCTTGTAACCGCCCCTTGCCCACGATCCCTATATAAGCCTATCAGACCCGAATCATCAGATTACACTTTTCCGGCTTCGAACCCAAATACCTGCGTCTTGTCGCCCGTGCAACATACCCAACGCTTCGTCCTTGGGAGGGAGCAAAAATCGACTAGTATTGGTGACTTTTACCCTGCGCGAGGAGTACGAGATCCCGCATCTTACCTGAATTCCTCCCACAGCAACCCTACACCCTAGGCCTCAAACCCTGAACCTTCAACACTAAGTACTATGGCCCTATAAACTACAACCCCTAATTGACCAATCTGAGCGGGGGGGGGGTTCTCGGTATTCAGGGCTTCGGTCTTTGGCTTTGGGCTTCTGTGCGCTTCTCTCCAGTTGCGGTTCTGGCAGCCTCCGCTTCCGTAGCCGCGTGAATCAAGAAGAGACCTCTGGCATCCGAGGCCGGGTGATATGAAGGCCTGAAGAAATTATTGGTACTCTTTTTTTAGGCCTCCTTATTCGATACATAATAGAATTAATACTATTCCTTAGGCCTCGTTATTCGATATATAGTAGAAATACACCAAAACCCGACCAATTCTTTCTTTTTTTGCCCTTGAGTTCAAGCCTGAGGTCGCAGATGAAGCGCCTCCGCACCTGGCTCGACAAAGCCATGAGCCAGCCCTCCTTCGTCGCGACGAAGAGGACCTGAGGGCTTTTTCAGGTTTAGGGATCAGGATTTAGGGTCTAGGGTTTATGGTTGTGGGGTAAAGGGTTGAGGGATTCGGATTTAGGGTCTACGCAGTCGAGAGTTTAGGGTTGAGGCTTGGACCGTAAGGATTGACTTGGGGGCAATGGGGCTTCATAGGTATGTTGATAAGGGAACACGGATCCTTGATGAGGTCCTTGGTAAGGCATCGACGATTTAGGGCTTCAGGGTTCAGGGATTCCTTCAAAGGGGTTGGGGTGCACTAACTCGCAGGTTCCACAACGTAGACTATGGGAGCTATACATTCTAGCAGGTTCTAACATGTTTCTGCTAGTGTTCGGCGTCTGTAAAGTCCTTGTTGGCGTTGCAGCCCGAGTTGATCTGGTCTTAGAAGAGTTACTTGGACTATCTGCCATGTCTTGCGGCTTGAGTCGATGAAACATGCCTGTCGAAGCAACAGCACGCACGCCATGCAAAAGAATGCTCTCGTGCCTCTCGGGCAACCCGGGGCTATCATGAAGCCTTCGAGCTGATTGGACTGTGGAGCGTATTGAGGATTTGAACCGCTATAAAGCCCGTGCAGCGCTGACACCGAAACTTGGATTAAGCCCCAAGCACTAGAGACCCCGGATCCCTGAACCCTCAAACCCTTAAACTAACACTCAAATACCATACCCTCATAAAATTTAAAAACCCTATGCACCTCAAAATTCACAGCTCGGGTCTTCGCTGTCCAGGCCAGAGGACAAGTTGGAGGAAGTGTATCAACGGTTTCTCGCCGTCAACTACACGTCGCTTAGTCGCCATTGGATGTGCATATGTTGGTCGGATTTCAATAGTTTCCCTGCGAACAAGCCCAGTTGTCTGAAGCAGTAGGGAACCCTTAAAAGGCATGAAGGAAGCACCGGTGAAAGACGGCAGGCCAACGTGTATCCATCTAGAGGCCCGCGATAAAGCTTACAACACTACTCAGGGACTCCAGATGTAACGACCATGGTTCCCCTAGACCCCATATGGCCCAAACACAAATCGTGTAAGAAGTGAAGGTTCGGCGGCCTGAACCGGAACTAAGCCATTCAGGCGTGCTGCGCAGGCAATCTCCACCTGGGGGTTTGTGCAGGGTCAGGGGTTGTGTGTGTGTGTGTGACTTTCAGACAGCACAGGACCTAAACCCCAAATCCCTCAACTCTCACCATAAGCACCACCTATAGGCTCCTAGAACTGGATTTAGGATCCTTGGCTTTGCCAGCTTCTTGCGCTTATGCTTCAAGGGAAGTGAAACTTGAACCCAAGACTGGCCTTTCAGCCGTAAGCTCCTAATCCTAAACATCATACATCCTGAAACTCTGATTTTTGAACCTTCTAACCTCTAACCCTGAACGTGGCCCTATGCCGACTTCAACATCAAGGTAACAGTCAGCTTGGGACCTTACACTGTCGGGCCTACACTTTTCTTGGTTAGTAGGGAATGGAAGAATGGTAGTAATAGTAGTTATAATTGTACCCCATTCCTCCATTCCGTACTAACCAACGGTAAGTACATGGTCCTATGAATGTGGGTGTTGCTGGGGTTGAGGGTCGTTGCTGATTCCTCAATGGACGAAGGGGTTCATGGGGTTTAGGCTGTTGGATCGGTGCTTGGCATGGGTACTTAAAGGATCATGGGGCTTAGTAACTAGGTTCCTTAAAGGGCTCCTTTAAAGGGATCTATAGGGGATCCTTAAAGGGATCTATGGGGTTTAGGGTTTAGATTCTACTGAAAGGATCATGGGACTTAGTAACTAGGGTTATAATTAAACTATACTTATGCCCGCAATTAAGGTACTTATAACCTTACTTACTAAGTCCCATGATCCTCCAAGCAGGACACCTCGATTCGAACATGATGGCCGTGACAGCCATGCCTGCGCTGGCAAATGAGACTGGCTCACCGCTGATCTGCGCAGCCTAACCTAAGCACAGCTTCCCACATGGTACTCAGTTTTGTCGTTGTCTTGTTCAGATGATCCTGACCATAAAGTGTTTAACCCGGAAGATGTGCCGTGTTGGAGAGTATGGATACAACCCTGTCTATGTGATTCATCGCAATCAGAACCTCCTGAGACTGTCAACCCCGAACGGTATGCTTCCGCAGCCCTCTGTGGCTAAGACTCTCATGCCGCAACATTCCGTCATGGTTCGGTAAAAGCCAGAGACAGGCAGTGCCCAAACCTTGCACACCATAATTTTGCCACAGCTCCACCACCATACATGCCCAAGCCGTTTTGGCAAACAAGCCACTCCTTGACTTGCCTCCATATGGAGTCGGTGGCTGCTTGACTTAGATATGTTGCCGAGATTCTGAGCTCCTGATGCTGAGAAGGTCTGCACTTGAAGCCCCCGGCTGCCCAGTTCGAGCCCGCACCCAACCAAGCAAGACTTGAAGCGACCTTGGAACACCGCCCCGGACCTCGGAAGCAAAGAAAGCATCCACACCCACAGCCGAAGCCCTACACCTGCGAAACCCTGCAGCCAAAAGCCTCACCACGCCAGACCTCTCAGCCGAAATTCCTAAAGCCTAAACCCTAAACCCAAAGTCTGGAGAGTCCTACTCCGGCCTACACCATCACATGGCGATGCACGGGCGGCAGACCGTGCCGGTTGGACGGCTCATGAGGCCTTGGGCGTCGAGTGTTTGTAGTTTAGGGTAACGGGTTTGGCGGCTGCGGGTCTGGATTTAGGGGACTTGTGTGTATATCCGTACCGATTCGTCTTCGGGATTGCACTGTTGCAGTTGCTGCAGCTCCGTCCCCGGGTCTCAGAATCCATACTTCGCATGTCCTGCACAAGGGCGCCCTGGCCAAGCGCCAAAACAAATGTAGACCAATGTTCGGTTGAATTCAAGCCTGTGTCCCATATCCTGAAGCCCCTGAGCATGTCTAAACCCTACAGAGCCAACCGTAAGACTCCAAATCCAGAGACCCCAAACCCTGGGCGAGAATAACAGATATAGCCGTTATAGCTTTGATGGTAACATTGATAGCAACATTAAATGGGCAGATACCACCACCAACCAGCGGCCGCGCAATATTCGTAGCCGCAAAAGCCATGACCTGAAGCTGTCAATCCCACAAACCCTACCTACCCCCTCCCAAACAGAAGTAATCACAAATGGGAAAATCATGGCCCAGCACCAATAAACCGCTACTATCCTGGATACTTTTGGGGTCCAGGTAATAAGCCCTGCCAACTCGAAGAATCCCAAGAGTTGACATAAGAGGTCGCCTCTGGTGCTGGCGGCGGCAGCAGCTGCGATCGGGTCATCCAGGGCCTTCTGTGCCTCGGTTTAGGGTTTTATTTTTTTTCAAATAAAACCCAACTCAAGGAAATATTTGCCACAGCCTCTTTATTATCATTCTGAGGGGGTTGTAGCAGGGTTTTGCAACTCTCGGAGGGTCTGCAAGCTGATGGGAGTGAGGTTTCTTGTTGCTTGGGGTGGACAACCGGACGGGGGGGAGCTGAAGAAAATTCGAGGTTGTGGGCTTGTTTTAGAGCTCATCCAAAGCCCTGCACCCTGATACATAGACCTTGTCCTCCTTTCCGAGTCGCGGTAGCTTTGCAGGCCTGGGACACCTCAATTTGACAGCTCTGAGCTCCTAGCCCTACACCTTCAGGCCCAGACCCTTGAACGACGTGCAAAGGCCATCTTCGAAGCCTCCTGTAATTAGGCTGGGAAGCCTGATAATTACACCTTTAAAACCCTAAGCCCTCAAGCCCTAAACCCTAAGCACTTCCGGGATTCAAAGCTGCGAGACGAGCCGATGTGAGAAGTGAGGCCAAAGATGCAGAGTTCTCTTCCAGCCGCTCCAGAGGCTCCATGATGCGGTTTCCTTTAGGGTGTAGGGGATTAGGGTTTAGGGGATTGCGGTTTAGGGTTGAGGGTTCTAGGGTTTTAGGGTTTTAGGGTTTAGGGGATTAGGGTTTTAGGGTTTTAGGGTTTAGGGTTTAGGGTTTTAGGGTTTCGGGTTTAGGGTTCTAGGTTTTTAATGTTTAGGGGTTAGGGTTTTAGGGTTTAGGGTTTTGGAATTAGAGCCTTAGAGCTGATTGAGTTGAATCGTTTCAGAATTTGGGCTTAGGGTTAGGGTTTCTACGGTTTAGGTTTTTGGGCGCAGGTTGTCGATGGTTTACCGCCTCGTTTCCTCAGACTGTCACTGGAGCTTGGTTGGAATGAATGATTATTTGTGTCTGCATGCTGTCTTTCATGGAGCATCCCGCATGAAATCCAGATTATGGGAATACTATTGCTACTGCTCCCTCACGAATGTTTCCAAACCTCAATCATGCTTCATGCATTGCCTCAGTGGTTCAAGGCAAGCATTGTAGGACCCATACTATCGGACTGTAACCCCTAGAGTACGGTGAACCCCAGAATGTCGTAACATGATGTTAAGCTGCTTAGGGCCAGTATCCGCATGCTTTACCTTGAGGGCATGAGGGTTAAGAGCGTTCCAACTTTCTGGCTTCCATCATAATTGACTTAGTGGCTGAGTATCCAACCTTTAACCTTTTGGGCTTTATATAATCCTACCATACTTGAAAAGGTTAGAAGCCCCAAACCCCTAAGCCCCTAATCCCTAAAGGCCCCTAAACCCCCTAAACCCCTAAACCCCCTAAGGCCCTAAAGCCCTCAACCCTAGAGGCCCCGAAGTGGTGTAACTTCCAAGACAGCTCCCCTTCTTTTGAAAGGCCGAGTGGCCCGCTTCCCCGCGGCGCGTCCCCGCCCAATCTCGATCTTTACACTGCGACGCCGGGCCTAGGGTTATAGGGTTTTTGGGGCTTTCAGGGTTTTCAGGGATTTTAGAGGATAAGGGTTAGGGCTTTAGGGTTAAAGTGTTTTGGGGCTTTCAGGGTTTTCAGGGATTTTGGAGGATAAGGGTTAGGGTTTAAGGGTTAAAGTGTTTTGGGGCTTTCAGGGTTTTCAGGGATTTTGGAGGATAAGGGTTAGGGCTTCAGGATTAAAGTGTTTTGGGGTCTCAGGATTTTCAGGGATTTTAGAGGATAAGGGTTAGGGTTTTAGGGTTAAAGTGTTTTGGGGCTTTCAGTGTTTTCAGGGATTTAGAGGATAAGGGTTAGGGTTTTAGGATTAAAGTGTTTCTGGGGTTTCAAGGTCTTCAGGGATTTTAGGGTATAAGGGTTAGGGTTTTAGGGTTAGAGTGTTTTGGGGTTGCAGAGTTGTGGGGTTTTTCAAATTTAGGGTGTTGGGTTGCAGGAGAAAAAAGGTTTTGGGCTTCAGGGTTTAAGGTTTCAGGGTTTCTGGTTTTTGGGGGTTTAGGATGTTTTCTAGCGCGATGTAGCCACTGTGCCAGCCAAAGACGGCTTAGGATCTGGAGTCTCGGGGCTGGTTCGGTGAAGCCAGTCCCGTAACGCCAGTCTAAACCCTAGACAAAGCGGGCTGGACCCAGGAAGGGCGTGGTGTCGGCGCCGATGCCACAGCTGCCGCCGGGAAAGCAGTCGCCCGGCTTTCCTTCAGCTCGGTCTCGGGTTTACCTGCAGCCGGAAAGACCTACTGTACCTTCTACCCTAAACCCCAGACCCTAAACCCTAAATCCTGAACCCTAGACCCTAAACCCCAGACCCTAAACCCTAAACCTTAGACCCTCCAATAGTTCCTTGCAAAGGTAGGTCTTTTGGGCCACGGGTAGGGTCTTAGGGTTTCGTCCGTGCTTTCTCAGACTCGAAGTCCTTCCATTTTCAGGGCCTTCGTAATTGAGGGGCAGGGGAGTTATGGGTTTAGGGCTTAGGGAGAGTGTGGATAGAAATTGTGTGCAGAATTCAGCAAACCCTGTCAGAGACCTAAACAAGCTTGACGCCTTGCGAAGATGGTGCGGAGCAACCTGGTCTCCGTAGAGATCTGAGAGAGGTCAGGGGCAGATCAGGATACAAAGTTGGTCCCCCATGTGCTTGTAAGCCCGATTGCGCTTGTAGCACACTTGCGAAGTCGCATGATCCCGAACTTTAAACCCAGCTGAGCCCCTAAACCCATTACACTGTAGAGATCCTAACCATAGATTTATTCAGTCCTTAGTTCATGAAGTAGGCCAGAACAGCTCAATTCACGTCAGGTCGGTCTTCGATGGGGTGCCCCTGCTGCAGACGCCCAGCTAGCACCAGAGCCCAAATGCCTAGCATTACTGCCAAAGCCCTGAAACAACGTTACAATACGGCCACTGCGAGGTTGTGAGAAGGTCACTGCACAGGTGGTTGCAAGGTTGCTACAGGGTTGCTCTAGTTTTTCTAAAAGGTTGTCCCTATGAACCCTAGGGCCGACTGTAAGGATTTAGGGACTGGGGATTTCTATAATGGTTACGAGGGTTTTAGGGCTTTAAGCTTTTTCGTGTTTAGGGTCAAGGATTTAAAGGATTTGGGGTGTAGGGTATAAGATCCTTTGGTCGTAAGTTCTAAAACCGAGCACCCTACAAGAGCATCCAGAAGCCTGTATACTGAAAACACGGTCAGAGAGCAAACGATGCTACTTGTAGCCAAGATCACCGAGCCCTGAAGTACGACTGGTCTAACACGTTCTGAGACCCGCCAAGCCACGTTGCAGCTCGCCTTGCGATGTGTGTTTAAACCCGTCTCCCCGTTCAGGTTAGCATGATCATTGCCACTGCTGCTACGCTTAATATGATTACGGTTATAGCAGCTGATGCTAGACTACGGAGTTGGAGGCGTTTTGCCAACATCTAGATTTGTGTCACTTGTTTGTTCTTACAGTTTGTGGTTGTGATTGTTGCCAGCAGTAGTTTCGAGTTTTCTCTTTGCTACTACGCTGCTGCTAGTGCCCGGAGCCCAAACCAGCGGGTTGGCAATGTAGAGCCGGTTGAACAACCCTGTCTTTGCAGATCGTAATAGTCGGGTCACCATCAAAAACTTTACGAAGTGATCGTCTTCAGTAGTGGGGCTGCAAAGCTGATAATCCCCACCAGAAAAGCCCAGAATCCCTATATAAACACAAGACCCAGAGCACTAAGGGGTCGTAGAAAAGGGGTATCCCCTTACAATCCCCATTATTGTCAACAATGTGCCCCAAAACCTGTTCCTATTCTAACCAGTAAGGTACCTGACCTCACAGTACTGTAACTTTAGTGTAACCCTTGCAGTAACCTTGATACTAAACCTTCATAGACCTGTATAATACTCTTCTCAGAACCCTTCAAGAGGAACCCTCAATCTCAAGAAACGACCCTTTGAAAGGAACCCTGTAAAGCAACCCTGACTCGGGAGGCCTTTAACCGAGCCCTGAAAGGGAGCCTATAAAAGTAAAAGGGACCCCTTCAAACCTAGGATGCCCAGTAGTACCCTTATTCCCTTTTTGTAGTCCTAGGTTCCTTGTAAAGTTACCCAGTACCAAAAAGGGAGCCCTTTTTATTCCTAGGTTACTGGGCATCCTAGAAAAGGTAACTCTGAGTTCCAACTTTGCAGTGCTGAGGACCGACGAAGTAGATCCGGGTCTGGGCGCCCTCGTGAGCCAGTTCGGAAGCAGACTGGCACCTGGGTCGGGAAGTTCCTAGGCTTTTGGGTTCCCTTACAAAGGTTTAGTACAGGGTTGCTGTAGTAGGGTTTAGGGTTTCTTTAGGCTTTAGGGGCTTCCCTCAATGAGGTCTAGAAGGGGTTAGTTACTATACCACCTATAGTTTCCCTTGTAATTCCTTGTCTAGGTGACCTTATGGGATCCTCATTATAAATACGGCTAAACCAAGAAAAGGTAAGTCCCGCAAAGGCTACGGCCAACCATAAGGCATCGAAGTAGTGCCGGAGCACCTCTTCTAAACTCTATGATGGTTCTAAAGGGGGTATAGTCTTGTTGATTCTGGAAAAGAGTATTAAGTTACCCAGGGCTTAGTAATATTTAACGGTTAAGTCTCTAGGATCCAGCGCCAGGGTGTGGCGTGGGGCGTTGAAGCTGCAGGCCTTAAGGCTCAAAGGCCCGGTTTCAGGGTTTAGGGTTTAGGGTTTAGGTCTCAGGGTTTAGAGTTCAATCTGTATGAGGGATCAGGGCTGACGTCCAGGGTTTCAGGGTGCGTATCCGGCCGATCCAGTTCAATCAGGTCCCTTCTGGATTAGAGCCTCTCGAGATCTTGTTGCCAAGTAGACGTCATCCCTCTGCATCCAAGTATATACATATTTCATGTACCTGAAGATCTAATAAAAGCAGCAGCAATGAACTCTATAGAGCCAAAGTATCTAATATGTGGAAGCTTGGAGTGCGAGGGTACTTGGAGGATCATGGGACTTAGTAAGTAAGGTTATAAGTACCTTAAGTGGGGTTATAAGTATAGTTATCCTAATTATAACCCGAGTTACTAAGTCCCATGATCCTTTAAGTAGACCCTATAATGGAACCCCTATAGATCCCTTTAAAGGAGCCCTTTAAGGAACCCTATAGTTACTAAGTCCCATGATCCTTTAAGTAAGATACCAAGGTATCTGAGTTTCAACCCCTCGACATGGTCTCGGCCTTGTTGATACTGCTGGGCCTGGGGCTTGGCGTGCTGGCGCCCTGGCCGGTTTAGTATAGGGGCCCTATAGTACTTGGAATGAAGTTTAGGGGCACATTATAACCAGGATATGAAGCCCTCAGGACGGTTACCCCATGTGAGTCTCTTGAGGCGTAGGTAGGTCAGAGTCTTAGGGAGCTGAAGCCGGTTTGTGCCTAATACGGCTCATGAGGGTTTGAGGTCTACAGGAGCACGAAGCTTTTAGGCTCAAGACTTCTGCTTCTTCTTACGTGTTTTATTTGTCGTTTTCTTCGGGTTTTCAATCAGCAGTTTGCCGGCTTCAGGCAGAGACACTGCCTGTGAGGAGGCGTGTTGAGAACTCACTAGCTAGCTTTAAGTTGTAGATGGCAGGAATGTGAAGCTCGAGCATCGGTGCACATGCATGAAAAAACAGCAGCACCAGACCGACATCTACAGGTGCAATATATAAATGTTACTGCCGTGGTTCAAAGCTTTGTCCATTCTGCAGGACACGCGACGTCGATGGCTCTCTTACGCTGGCGACGCCATCACTTGGTCTCTGTACGAGGCGGTCGGAGTGCCTAGGGTAGAGCCTTAAATCCTGCAAAGCCTAAGGGCCAAAACCTTCAATCCTAAGCCCAAAACCTGAAACCCCACTATTCTCAAACCCCATGAAACCTCAAACCTACCTGGTAGCTCAGCCTCTAACTCAAATCTCTCTATATGCCCGATTCCCGCTTCAACTTCGCAGACGCTGGGCGGCCCCACGAAAACGCTTCCTGGTCGGCTGGTGCCCGGCACCCAGGCGGAGGCGGCGGAGCAGTTTCGAAGGGCTTGCAGGGGATTATTCTTTAGGGCTTCAGAGTGTTAGGGTGTTTGGTTTTTAGGGTTTAGGGTTTAGGGTGTGTCACAGTGCCACGGCGCGCCCCACCCATGGAGTGGTCGTGGGTCGCGCCGTCTTCGTAACGTGGAACCCACCCACAACCACCCGAAGCAGGACTAGAACGGGTTTTGTGTTCTGCTTCTTCTTATTCGAGTGCTGCACTAGCCGAAAAGACGTTGCAATGTTGCGGAACGTCAAAGGGACATCCGAGTGATGTAGTCACAAAATAGCAGCGACGCCCTCGCTCGTCCTCGCCGGCCGCCAGAGTCGTCCGTCAGCCGTCGTCAGAGTCGTCCGTCAGGGCCCAGTGCCAGGCCTCCAGAAGTGGTCTGCAGCCGTCCGCTGTCCGTGCCAGTCCGGCCAAGAGTGCTGATCATCCAGTCGGCCGCCAGGGTTTTTTCGCCCGGCAGTCCGTGCCAGAATCGTCCAGCTTTGCCGCCAGACTCGCACTCCAAGCTCCTTGCCAGAGTCGGCCACTGTCCCCAAGCTCTTTCTAGGACGTCCCGTCACTGGGTCCCCCGCAGGGTCACCCCGCTGTCCCCGCCAGGGTCGCTTGGTCAGGGTCGCCGTCCCCGCCAAGGTCCTTACGCCGTCCTTGCCAGGGTCGTCCGCTGTCCCCGCCACGATCGCCCAGGGTCGTCCGTCTGCCAAACTGTTTTTGGCCTTTTCGTGCCTGTCAAAGTCCCCACCAAAGTTGTCTCCGCCGTCCCCGCAGGGTCACCCGCCGTCCCGTCCGCCACCCCCTCCAGAGTCCGCCAGAGTCGTCCGCCGTCCCCGCCAGGGTCGCCCGCCGTCGTCGTCCGCCGTCACCCTCCAGAGTCGTCTGCCAAGCTGTTTTTGGCCTTTTTAGTTGCTGTCACAGCATCGTCCCCGCCAGGGTTCTCGTGCTGGGAGATAAGGCGCCATCCCCTCCAGAGTCGTCTGCCAAGCTGTTTTTGGCTTTTTCAGTCCCTGTCAGAGTCGCCAAGTCCCCGCCAGAGTCGTCCGCCGTCCCCGCCAGGGTCGCCCGCCGTCCCCGCCAGGGTCGTCCGCCGTCCCCCTCCAGAGTCGTCTGCCAAGCTGTTTTTGGCCAGAGTCGTCCGCCGTCCCCGCCAGGGTTGCCCGCCGTCCCCGCCAGGGTCGCGCGCCGTCCCCGCCAAAGTCGTCCGTCCACCATAGTCCCCGCCAGGGTCGTCAGCCGTCCCCGCCAGAGCTCTTTCTACCAGGTCCCCTCCAGGGTTCTCGCGCTGGGAGATAAGGGTACCCAATTTTACTATTGTGCCCCATGGCTAGCAGTGCCAAATCAGGTCTGGTAGACTCGATCTGCTTGGCCAAGCAAGCAGATCTCGAAGCGGTAGCGTTCAGTGGTACCGGCCGCCGCCGGGCGCGGGCGGCCAATGGTTTTAGGCTTTCAGGGTTTTAGGGTCTTAGGGTTTTAGGGTTTAGGGTTTTAGGGTTTAGGGTTCGATTTTAGGGTTTCAGGGTGTTAGGGTTTCGGGTTTTAGGGTTTCGGGTTGGGGTTTAGAGTTTAGGGTTTTGGCTGGCTTTAAGGGTTGAGGATGGATGTTTTTGTGCGTGCCCTTGTGCATGTGCGAGCCTACCCAGTCGGGCTCAAGACTTGTTAGGTTTCGCTATGAAGGTTCAGATTCAGGCTTCTAATTCCCATGACGAGCTGAGTTTCGAGTTTGAAGTTTTTGTTTAATTTCGGGGTGGAGTCATGCCAAACCCTGAACATTAGCTGTTGGAATTCTGTCTTAGGGTTGCTTTCACTTGCCGATCTCAGCTTTCCAGCTTGAGGTTGGGATTTTGCAAGGCTTCGGGTTAAGGGCTCTGAAGTTTCTAGTCGCTGACTGCGGAGCTGAGACGTCAGATTTGGGGAGCAACGCCCTTTCTATCGTGCTGGCATCTCTATCTCCGAACGGGGGAAACTGCGGCGCAGCTTGCTGCCGTGAGTTTTGAAAACCTAGTGCTCGGATCAACAAACACGCGATTAATTGCCAATGCTCGAAACCTGAAGACGGAGCCCCTCAATCCTAAACCCGATCAATCCAAGCACCGAAGCCGAAGCCTGCTTCCAGGTGGAGCGGGCCAGCATGTCATGGCCCAACGTACGCGAGCTTCTGGCCTTTCTGCAGCAGGTGGGCATCGTCAAGAGCTTTGTGTGTGGCGTTCTGCCCCTCGGACGTTTTGGCATTGACGGCAGGAGAAGTCATCCCCTGCATAGTCAGGGGTCACGACTGTGATGCAAAAATCAGTGATGATCCGATTGGTGCTAGTGCTGGAGACTCTTCTTGAACTTCTTGATATCTCCTTGCTTGAAAAACGTGAATGTAAATCCTAAACCCTGAAACCCTAAGCCCTTGAACCCCCAAATCCTAAACTCCTAAACTCCTAAACTATAAACCCTAAACCCCAAACCCTTGAGCCCCTAAATCCGTAGCTTGCTTCCAGAGAGCTGATCGTGCCAGGCGCGTGTCCCAGACCGTCTCCGGGCCGCAGCAGCTGCAGATGCAGCCATGACGCAGCACGAGCTTCGGTGCCTTGGGGGTTCCTTATGATGATTATAGTCCAATGGCCCCAACACCCTATTCTAATCATTAAGGTTTTTGTAGTACCTTGAAGATTCAGGGATGCTTCGGCGCCTTGTGGGCTTGTTCATCACTTTCCGGTTCAGGGAGGTCACTGAACGAATTCAAGATCATGTGCTAGAGGGGCCTAACTAAATACCAACACTATTCGGGGATTCTTGCTTGTACTCTTGGTATAATAGAGAGTATAATTTCTCATGGCTTTTCGGGTTTTGGGATGCTGCTTCTGAACCTTCAGATTGATGGCTTTAGGGCTCGGGGCTTTGGGTGGGACTCCGTGGGGCTCTGAGGCGTAGATAGAAAGTCCGATAAGCCACCAAAATGCTTCGGCTCTGAACCATGAGCCTTACGAGGTCATCCGGTCCGTACTTCGTCGGTGTTCAGGCCATGGTAGAGGGTTCTCGGGCGTCTAGGTAACTGGATGCCCAAGTCCTTACATCCTTTAACCCTAGAGGTTTTCATGCTGTGGGATACATAGTTGCAGGCCATGCTTCGACAGGTTGGAAGAACCGCATGCAACAGAATGCCTAGGTAAGACGGTACGACATGCTTGGCGAAAGCCGTGGCATGCTATAGGCTTGGAATGACCGCCTGGAACCAGGCTATGAAATCCATGCCCGGTTTCAGTGCTCAGCTTGTGACCTGCGCAAGCAAAGTAACATCGATCTTCCCGATCACCCGGAAACCCCGAAAGCAACCTTCAGCACCCATACACTGGCACCAATATCCGTGTAGCTTGAGAGCCCAAAGCCTTACACCCGAAACCTTTAAAGGAACCCCAAATAAAGAACCTGTTCAAAGAACACTTCAAAACCTTTTGAGAGAACCCTCAATCCAGGAACCCCCTTTCAAGGAAGCCCTGTGAAACCCCACCTGGAGGTTCATGGGCAGTTATAAGTGGAGTCATAAGTCCCCTATATGGTTTATAAGTTATAATTATGGTTACTCTACTTATAACCCTACTTAAATTATACCCTAAATGTCCCTAAAATCATGATAAAACCCGAAACCCTTAACCCTAACTCTTCAAGCAGAATCGGTCATAAGCAGGCCATTGGCTGAAGCGGTGCTGCTGGCCTGCTCCGATGCGCTCCTGCCTCTCGTCTTCTTTGGTAACCTTGAACCCAAAGCTATAAAGCCCATATACCCTTATGCTAAACCATACACTCCACAACGCGAGGCTACCATTCAGGCTGGATTCAGGATTTGGGCTTAAGGTTCTGTCGTCGATTGCTTCGACACACACCGAGTTCCCTAAACTTCTAAAGCGGCCATGGGGTTTTCATGTGTTATGGTTTGGGATGCAGTGGTTAGGGCCTAAAAAGGTTATGCCTCAGGACTCACGGTTACGATTCAGGCTGCACTTGAGGATGTTTGGATTCAGGTTTTAGGGCTTGGGAGTCAGGGTTTGCAATTGCAGGGTTATACGATTTAGGATTCAGGCAAACGGGGTTTACGGCTTGGGATTCAAGGTTGAGGGTTTAGGCAACTTGGCTTCCACCCTACGAACCCTAAACCCTCTAAAGGACCCCTAAACCCTAAACGCTGTAAGGGGCCCGAAACCCCAAAACCCTGTAAGGGAACCCTAAACCCTAAAGAAGCGGGATCGGTGTGCAGGGACTCGCGTCGCGGACGAGAAGCCAGTCGGGTGTGTCGGACAGTTCAGGCCTTAACATACCAGAACCTACTTGTTTGAAGGGTTCCGGTAAATTCCACAATCGTGTATATAATAAGAGCGTACAAAAAGTAGGTCATCGTAGTTGAAGGGACATGTTCAGGCCCTTCCCGAAACCTTGACTCTCAGATTTGATTGAAATTCACCGCGCCAAAGCTTTGAAAGCCCGTTCGGTGCTTGGATGCTTCAGGTTGGATCCGGAGATGCCCCTGCCTGCCACGTGACTGCATAGAAGCCCCGGGCGGATTATTTTTTGTCGGGCCGGTGCAGGCGATTTCTTAGTCTTCAACTTATTATGATTCCCTTCCCCACCGAACGTTTTGTTCAGTTCTAACACTTTTGAAACCTATAAACGTATATGTCTCTCCTGAAGGCCTCAGCTCTAGGTCCCGTGCTCTGAAATCGGGGACCCTCATTATCTGAAAACCAAACCCTCAAACCTAAACGTATTGAGCTTGGCTTCCGGGGTGCCACGAAAAAGGCGAGCAATAACTGTCAAAAGAACAACAAGCCGGCGACACCAGCACAACAGTGCAAGATTGCATCCCGCGAGCAGTTTCTGAAGCGATAGCTTCCCAAAACCCGAGTGCTTTTGATGGTCTCTGGCGCACTCCAATTCCTGCATGCTGGTTTTATGTCAGAACCTCTCTTGCTGCATTCGTCTGAAGTCCAAATCTACTGCATACATCTGACACCTTGAAGCAATACCCTAGACTCCCAATAAGAATCAGCCCTCTGTCCTGAACGGTTCATTCCAGGCCACATGTCCTCAATGCTCAAAGATACCTTGCGCCGTTGCTTGCGCCCCTTGTGTGTAGTTTGGTGTATGATAGCCAACCCCCCAATGCAAACCCTAAACTCCTGTCAGATTCAATTTCTGCAGCCAGCAGTGTTCTGCGCATGCTGAAGCTGAGGCCATCGACGGGGAGTGGGAGTGTGCCTGCGACTACTTCCGGAACGGTCCTTCTGCCGATTTTGGAGTTGGACACATAACTTGGCAACCCAATGCTGGCCTAGTCTTGCAGAGAAACCTAAAACAAACCGCAACAGAATTCAACTCAATTATAATCTCACCGCAACAGAGTGCTACTAAGCCCCCATAAGGTCACCGAAGCAGAATTCTACTAGACCCCTGCAGAGTTCTACTATAAACCCCCATAAGGTCACCGCAACAGAGTTCTACTAAACCCCTATAAGGTCTCTAAGACGGGCCCCTGAAGGGTTGCTGTCGCAGACACTGTTAAGGGCACGCGGGATTGTCTTGCTTATGATTCGGGATTTCATTTTTGTCATAGTTGGGAAACATTTTTCATTTGTTACGGGTATTTCGAACCCGATAAGGAATAGAACTGTACAGTTTTAATCCTGTCCCAACCATGAACTAGTCATAGGGGTGCCGGGGTTCTAAAACAACCGAGGGTCAAGGGCTGTAGGGTTTAGGATTCGGGGTTTTTGAAATTTTGAGTGTTTTGGCATGTTGGCTTTTATAGGGTCCAGTGTGATGCTGTTTAGGGTCGCATTTCAAAAAGTGTATTGTAGTTTCAGAGCGTTAGGTTTGCCACGCAGGGAGTGTCTGCTCAGCATGTCAGTATGTTTGACGCACAGGACTCTAAACGGGGCCGGTTGGTCCATCCATTCAATTTCGCTTGAAAGGAGTAAAGCAAACCCAAAACCTCAAATGAGGGGGTTTTGGACTTCATCTCCTGATCTCGGCGATTGCAGCTCCGAAGTGCGACTTCAAGTGTCATCGTCAGCCCCCGAAAAGCATAAGGTCATAACGTGTTAACACGACAACCCCAGGTGAAGCTCCACAAATGACCTCACATTGGGGTTGCCATTGGAAATGAGATTCCCCTTGTAGTTCATAGTAAATCTTGATACTTCATGATCGTAGACTGTTCCACAAAAAAGTATCGATGACATTGAGGCCCTTTGTTGCAAGCGTCGCCCCTTTAGCAGCCGCTCAAGGCAACGTGATCTTTGTTCCCATGCGTCTACGCGGGGCATCAGGCGGCCCTGGGACACGAGCCCCCATAATAAAGAATGAAGTCGCCTGAATGATCACCTATACCATTTTTGGGCGGTTCCTCAGTATTATAGTATAACATAACCCGAAACCATGTTCTAATTATTTAAGGCCCCTCTTTCAGGTTTCGAGGCCCCTTGACCCTTGACACAGATCCACCTGGGCCGAAGACACTTTCTTGCTGTCACCAGAGGCTCTTTTCAGTGTTGCTAGCCCAGACCCCCGGGAGGATCTAGAAAGTAGATCCCCTAATTTGGGGCCCTATACTGCTAAGGGTACATTATTGGAACCCCCATTAATGGATCTACTTTTTGGATCCTCCCGGGGTCTCGGAGGTAGCGCTGGATCGGAAACCTGATAGAGGAAGCTCCGCATCGGAGGGTTAGAGGCTGTGGCAATATCTACTCAGGAAATCTCATTCACCCAACCCTCAAACCCGAGGCTCGATTCCTCTGCATCATAATTCTAAGCGGGTGGTGGTCAAAATTAGGGTCCCTTTTTGGGTACCCTAAATATTAGTTGCCGTATTATAATAGGGACCCAAAAAGGGGCCATAATTTTGACAACCACCCAAGTGGGACTTACGTGCAGTTTCCATCTCCGATCTTCCTGCAGCGCCTCGTCGCCCCTTCTGCAGGATCATACACCGCCGATGGTGGCAGGCATGAGATCAGAGACATTCAGAGACGCCGTGAAGGACAACGGGTTCATGTACCAGGTATACAGGTGGGCAGTTTTAGATGCAAGAGACTAGTTAGGATAGGTGGAATTTCGTTACCTCCATGCCCCGAACTCCTCCAAAACCCCAAACACGGCATTTCCTAAACCCGTGAACCTCCCGACCCATCTAAACACCCTGGCCCAGGATCCTTGGTTGTTGCTGATTTCTGCTGGGAGAACTCTGCCGGGGCAACCGGCAACGGCAAGTGGCTGGTGATCCCCGGCTTTGCACCTTCTGAACCCTAAACCCACAAGAACTGAAGCCCTTAAAGACACCTCAACACCAGGCCGCTAAATTCTAAACTCTAAACCCCCAAACCCACGCTGCTTGGACCCCTTTAGACCCTGATTCCTAGACCCCTCAAGTCTAGACCACCAAACCTTTATCCGACTCAGACGCCCCGAAAAAGCCCTCTAGGTTAAACAACCAAAGCTAAGCTTAACTTAGATCCCCAATGCTCAACCTTTAAACTTTTTTGGGTTCTTATAGTTTCGTAGGAATCGGAAAGTTCAACCTTGTGTTTTTGTGGCTTCTTGGAGGAGTAAGTTAACAAGGAGAATGCAGAGCCCCCAGCTGCATCTTAGGTACGGCCCCCACTCAGTAATAGAAGAAAAAAATTCATAATATAGATATAGTAGGACCTTAGTAGCAGCCCTGTTATAGACTCTTACTGTATAGGGGCCGTACCTAAGCTGCATCCCAGGAGCAGGGAGGGGAATTTCATCGCCGGAAACTGGCGCCAGGACCTGAAAAGAGATGGTCAATAGGGCTCCATAGGAGGCTTCTGCAAGGACTCGCAGATACTTGTAGTGTTCTGTAGAGGGTTTTTCAGAGAAACAAGAACGGGCTTTATAAGGCGTGTGAAGAAGTCTTCATATGGGGTCACACAAACGGGCGCTATCAAGGGCTCCATAAAGGATATATATATAGGGGTGCAGGAAAAGCTTGCTAGGAGGTTTGATAAGCATAAGTGGCATTGTCTCACGATGTTAACGGGTGTTCTAAGGCTCTTTTGGTGTCTCATCGCGGTCTTTTAAAATCCAATCAGTGATTTGTAAAGGTTCCTTGAGGGCCTTCGGGCCCCTGCACTTCGCCTACGTGTCAAGGGGTTGTTCCAGCGCAGCACGGTTTAGGGCTTAGGGTATTGCGTCAGACACTGCAGCAGCAAATTACCAAGCATGCATCGAGAGAGATGCGGCATCAAACTCCGCCTCAGTTCGATACGCTCCAGAGCAGTCTTCCCGACACCCTAAAACCCTAGATCCCTTGACCTGGATTCTCAAAAAGAGGGCTCTGCCCTTAAAGGGACCCTGTACGGGCTCTGAATATTTAGTGGTTCCTTTCAGGGTCCGTTTAAGGCATCCCTTTAAAGGACCCCTCTCAAGGATCCAAGAGATCCCTTAAAAGGAGCCCGTAAAGTATCCCGTCCGAGTTCTTCCTCGAAGGATGGCGTCGCCGAGGGCCCCTGGAGTTGGTACGGCCGCAAGAAGCCCTCCCTGCGCAGCCCGGAAAAAGCGTACACTTAAAGGATCATGGGACTTAGTAAGGGCCCAAGGAGTATACCTTAAGGTATATTCCTTAGTTAAAGGATAATTATTGGAGTCCTTGAGAAGGAGGAAGGGTCCGTTCAGGGTTTAGGGCTTACTTAAAGGATCATGGGACTTAGTAACTAGGGTTCCTTAAAGGGCTCCTTTAAAGGGGATCTATAGGGTTCTATGATAAGAGAGGTTTATATGGTCTACTTAAAGGATCATGGGACTTAGTAACTAGGGTTATAATTAGGGTAACTATACTTATAACTTACCCCAATTAAGGTACCTAGAACCTTACTAAGTCCCATGATCCTCCAAGTAGGGTTACAGAGCTTTTTGGGTTCTAGGGCTAAAGGGGTTATAGGGTATTATAGGGCTTATAGGGTTACAGGGCTTATAGGGTTGCGGGTTAAGGTTGAGGTCAGCGTAAGTTTAGGTTTAGGATTTAAGGTTTAGGGCTCTGGGGTTCGGGTTTTCCAGGATTCCTAGAACGGTTCGCGGAAGGGCTTGGTTGCTGTAAGTACATTAGGAGACGGAAGCTTATGGTCTTGGGGATTTGAGGCTGTTGGGTTTAATCAAAGGGTAAAAGGAGGAACCCTTAATAAGGACCCCGTATAGAACCTTTATATATCTACCATATACCCATTATATGGTCCATTATAGCGTAGGGGTCCCCATGAAGGGTCCCTCCTTTTGCCCTTAGATTTGAGGCTTAGGGTTCAGGGTTTAGGGGTTTCAGGGTGTGGGGTTTAAGGGCATCAGGTCCGCTTTCAGGGGTTAACGGTTTACGGATCGGGCTCAGCGTTGCACTTCTGCAGCTGGGGATGTTAAGTTTAGAAATTTCTACCCTGTGTTGCTACGCTAGATGGTAGGATAGTATCAAGCACGTACCTGATACTTCAAAGTACATACATAGACATATATATATATATATATATATATAATTTGTATACATATGTATGTACATGTGTATATATATATATATGTATATATATGTGTGTGTGTGTACGACTACATACACATACATACATAGTATGTCGAATCCACATGTTGGTTATGCAACATGACGTTGTTCGTTTCGTTCGAAGTTTTTGAGGGTTCGCCAAGTTATATTATCATCTTGAGTGATGGTAGTAGTATTCCTCAGGGTTCCTGAAATGCCAATAGTATAGAATAGCTCTAGACTGCCTATTCAGGCTTTCTGCACAAGACCTACAAACCCAAGAAAAATCACAAGAACGCGATATTAACCTTGTAGCAAGCTTTCACGAACCATCCCTGGGTCCGTTCTACGAGGAACGCCGCCTCCACCAGAGGTGGCCAAAACCATGGCGCGCGAGGCTGCAAACCAGGTGGCGGGGAGGGGGAGGGCTTGGGGGTTTTAGTGCAATTTAGGGTTTAGTAGGGTATTGTCGTTTGGGGTGTTAGGGTTCAGGGTTGAGGGGACTGAGGAATTTGCTTGCAAAGCAGCTTACCCCTCATGTTTTTGATTTGGGAGTCAGTGTGGAGTGTAGGGTTGCGGCATTCACTCGGACCTGATGAATACCAAGTAGCAGCAGCAATCGCTTAAAACATTAAGTAACACCAGGCTGTTTCGCAGTACTTGTGACTTGTAGTAACATAGTCATCTATGCACGCATATGTATGTAGAAGTACATGCATACATACATATGGATACACATATACGGAGTTGTTTATTTATAGACATAGTTGCTTATGTATGTATTTGTTTTGTTGTCTCGTTGTTTTGCACCTGCTGTTTACAAAGTCTTTTTTATCGGGTTTTGTATGCTCACTAGCGTGTATTTTACGGTGTATGGTACCGACACGCATGCATGCATGCATGCATGCATGCATGCACATCTGGCCGGCTGGAGGGAGGGAGGCAGGGAGGGAAGGAGGAGGGATGAATGGATGGATGGATGCATATTTGTGTGGGCATTCGCGTGCATAGGCATAACACACTCCTTATGTCTTCGGGCCCCATTGGAGCCTCCGCGCAGGAGCCACGCTCCACAGATCTGGGGCCCACTGCCATCAAGGCCGCGTGGCAAACCCCCAAACGCTATTCTAATTATTAAGGCTCCTATATTATAGAACCCTACTATAGGTCCATTATAGAACCCTGTAAAGGAACCCTAAGAAGGGACCCTATTCTAATCATCAAGGCCCCCTAATGAAGCCCCAAAGGTCCTCTAATGTCTTTTGGGGTGTGTGAGAGATTGCTCTCAAGGTGCACAAGTGGGTGGGCCCCCGGCTATCGAGTTCAGGGGCAGTGCGCGGTGTGAGTATTGCATGTCAGCCAAGATTCCACTCCGCCCTGTGTAGACCGACACACTCAAGAGATGCGATTTCGGCAACCGCAGCACCTTTGCATCCAAAGGCAGGCTGTTATTAAGACAGGTGCAAGCAAGCGCTGTTTAGACAGAGTGCAAGCTGATCATGCGGCAGACTTCTCAAAGATCCACTGTGCTCCTGTGCAAGCACAACCCAACATGACTCTGCCATTGCATCCCGTGTTGCAAGTGCTTGGCCCCTTTACCCCCAAGCCACGTAGCTTTGGTACTTACTGTAAATATCCCCAAAGCCAATAAGATGCAAACATGGCAATCCTTCCAAGAGCCTGTTCTACATCTCGTTAGGCCGCCTCCCTAACCGCCTAGAGAAGCTTGGGTGACCTCGCAAGGCAGGTGCAGCTGCTGTCGAGGAGGCCGGCGCTGACGCCGCAGCACGCGAGGCTGCCCACGAACTAGGGTTTTAGCCATGCAGCTGTTGAAAGCTTTGGTGTTCTGGGCTTCCGGTCTTCATGAGGTGTTGCATAAAGTTTCTTCTATACTTACATCTCGCGCCTGTGAATGAGGATGCGATGGTTACTACTAGCCCCTCAGGCCTCCATTTTCTAGAACTTCTAACCTCCAATGTTGTTCCTTGCGCTGATGAACCGTGTTTGGAGGCTGGGATCCCGTACAGCCAAGATATCCTCAAGCAGTGGAACCACAACGAAGCCATAGGAGCAGACCCCATTTACGCCCAAGCATCTCTATGGCACCCTCTTAAGCTCCTCCTCCACCTGGGCGGAGGCCCTGATACCTCAACCGGCCCTAAAGCCTAAATCTTGCAAACCTCGTATGCCCTAGGCCCTAAACCTTGATCCTTGGAAAAGAGGCGCTTAAAAGGACAAGGGGCGCTTAACAAAAGAAACCTTGATCCTGAATCACAGAGTCCACTGTGGCAAGGCTGTCGCACAGGCCTGGGACGTCTCTGCGCCGCTGCCTGCCTATATCATCTTCGGTCTTCTGAAGCACAGGGCTTATAATAGAGGGGTTCTTCACAATCACCTACACTACTTTGGGGTCCCTACTTATAGAAATAGTGTAGTATACTCCTCAAAACCCTATTCTAATTGTTAAGGCCCCTTTATTACAGGGGTTGAGGTTTTGGGTTTCGAGGGTTTAGGGTCTACACAAAGTCACACAGTCTTCACTCAACATCCGAGGCCGCACAAAAAGCTCGGCTGGGTCTTTCAGGTTTGGGATCTAGCGCTTTAGGATGAAGGTTTAGGGCCTACGGCATATGCACCCACTTACGAACTCTGAAGGGTATTGCCCTGAACTCCCTCCACTGAAGAGCTCCGACGTCTCAAGGGTACAGCCGTCCGGAACCGGTGGCGACTTGGCCCCCTCGGCGGTGCTCCGACGCCGATGGCTGGCTGCAGGACGGGGCTGTTCCAAAGTTGCTTCCCAAGCGGTGTTTACGGTTTACTTAAAGGATCATGGGACTTAGTAACTATGGTTATAATTAGGGTAACCATACTTATAACCCCAAATAAGGTACTTATAGCCTTACTTACTAAGTCCCACGATCCTCCAAGTAGAGTTGAGGATTCCGATTGAAGGAGTCTTGTTTCCCAGGAGTTCGATGTAATGCAGACCCTCCGTAGCTCTTCACTTTTCGGAATTACGACTGAGGTTTGGCGGGTTCAGGGGGTTGTCCTCCCAACCCTAAACCCTGAACCCCTAAACCCTAAACCAAAAACCAAAACCCCAAACCTCAAGACACCCCAGGGGAGGACCTGCGTGCGGTGCTTGGGCTCACGGTGAGTGGCCTTGTCCCGGAAGATCTCCAGCGCCTGCGGCTGTACTTAGCTATAGGATCATGGACTTAGTGACTATGGGTTATAATCAGGGTAACTATACTTATAACCCATATTAGGGGACATATAACCCTACTTATACCTACCCATGATCCTCCAAGTAGCAATAAGGGTTTAGCGTCTGGATTACCTAGGCCCCCAACTGCCCTCTAATATACCCCAAATACCCACCATTAAGGGCCGTAAGGACTCTAGAGGGGTCCTGGTAGGGTTTAAGGTTTAGGGTCCAGGGCTTTAGGGTGGTCGTATGGCATCCCTAGGGTCCCTAGAATCCCTAGAAGCAGCATGCACTTAATCAGGCCTGCCCTCAACAAAAATTGAGTCGACAACCCGTGCGCCACCCCGGAATCCCGAAATCCCTTGTAAGCCGCGATACGCAGCCCTAAAGCCCTGCGCTTCCTTCGCTTACTGACTGCCGCACCCGAGTTGGTGGGATTGGAGACGTGAATGGTAGTAGCCGCAGTAGTACCACTACTGGTTCTAGTACTACTACGAATACTAGCACCGGTATCTGTACCAGCATTAGCAGTACCAGTAGTAGTACTAGCAGTTCTAGTGCACCTAGTGCGTGTACGATTGGTACTACAGCAGTACTAGGTCTCGTAGTATTAGTAGTACGAGCTGTACTAGTAGCACGGCCAGGAGCGAGTACTAGTAGTCGTCGCCGCAATGCCACCAATTTTTCGAGCACCACTGGGTTTTCTGGTGAGCCAAGGCGGCTAGGATTTGCCCTGGCGCTGACGTTGTGGTCCGGTTCCCAGAAACCCGCGTCAGTGTTGAGTTTTGTGACCTTCGTTTCCCAGATCTGGCTTTAGTAGCCCATAGAATTTGTCTTATGCAGTTTAGTATTTCAGTGCTGCTTGAAGGAGCCCGCTACGCACAGACCCCTAAACCGTGGCAGCCGGTGAACAGGTCTCTTTTCGCACTTTTCTTCGCAAGAGCTCTCGCTTTGTCCCTGGGCAGCTCAGTGCCTTCGGCTGATTTGGCGACTTCTTTACGTTGGGACGTGTTTGGTTGAGCGTGCTGCTAGCTGAAGCGACCATAGCTACCCGCTCTCACAAAAAACAGCAAACCCCACTTGTAGCAACCCATAACGACTGCTGTACGTAGAGACTAGAACCTCGACAACTGCTTCGGGGTCCTTTCAAGGCTTTTGGATTCAGTCGATCGGCTGATTCACTGGTTTACGGTTTCGGGGCTCGTAGGGCCTAGGTTTCAGGCTTCAGGGTTTCAGGGCTCTGGGGTTTCAGGGCTCATACGGTTGATGACATAAATCCTGCATTACCATACTGACCCTGAAATATGGGAATTATGGTATATTCCTTATTATGGGTAATGCAGGATTTAGAATTTAGATCATCAACCCTAGGGTTTAGGTTTAGGACCCTGAAGCCTACACCGTAAGTTTAAGATTTAGGGTTCCAGAAGCTCCATCGCTTGAGGCAGATGCTGCCACATGGTCCTTCTTCTTCGCCAGCTATGCTGCTCCTTGGATCTACACATCCCATGCACCCTGCAATTCTCCTATCCCGCAGCCTATCCTAACTCCCATTACACACACATATGTAATTTCCAGAAAACTGACCTGAACAACCAGCAGTGCGGTTCCTTCGGGTTCCACAATCGAGGTTTATTTTTGACACCCAATGAGAAAAATGTAAGACCATATGCGACTATTGAGTCTAGAATCGCGCTTGGATTCCTGTCTGAGAACAGCCGGGCCTGCTTGGAGCTCTGATAGTAAGAATGGGGTTTCGGTGTCGATGGTCCCATATCTAGTGACTGTATTATGTGAGTAATTGAATCACCGGCTTCTACTTGGTGTTGCACGAAGACCCGCGGTTTCAGGTACAGTTTCTTTCAAGGTGGGGAGGTTTTCATGCTTATTCATACCCCAAGAAAGACTCCAAGTATACAAATACTACCTACTTTGGGGCCTAAAGTCTATAAATACTACCCACTTTGGGCTATTTGGAGTCTGAGGGATAAGGCACGACCCCAGGAGGATCTGGATCATCGCGACTCTCCTTGCGGCTTCCGAGTTTTTGGTATTTGCCCTCCTTAAGCAGGGGGTTTGACCTGCTTGGAGGTTCATGGGTAAGCGGTCATAAGTCCCCGAATGTGGGTCATAATTATGGTTACCCTACGGATAACCCCACTTATAATGTAACTGCCCGCGAACCTCCAAGTATGCTTCTGGTACATGTCAGCGCTTCCCTCTGCACCTGGTCTCAGTGTAGTTCGCTGTCGTTGTGTTTGCTTCCGTCGCAGGGATACGTCTATTTCATCCAAAGCTGTGTTTCTGTGGCTCCCAAACGCCCTAAACGCTAAACCAAGTTCTTCAAGCAATAACAGCGGCTCGTGAAGTGGAAAGAGTCCAAAAGATTTCCTGACCCAGCCCTTGCTCCAGAACACCCAAAAGACCCGACACAAACCCCCGCCCCTCTACAATCTTTAAAAGCTAAGGCCCTACAGTAAGGTCCCGCCCCTCGTCCCTCAAAAAAACTCACTAAAACCCCTAGGCCCCAAAAAAACCCTGAACCCCATAGGCCCTCTAAAAGCAGGGAGGAAAAGGGCCTTCAAAAAATAGGCCCTCTAAAACCGAGCATGTTGATCCACAGGTCGTACTTGACATCGTGTTGCCGAGCCGCGGAGGCCTCTTGGGAAGCGCAGTCAGGGTTTGCAATTAAAAGACACCGTACCTGGACCCCAAAAAGTATGTAGAATAATGGCCTTTTATAGGTTTTGGGCTATTATTTTACCTACCGTTGGGGGTTTAGGTAACCAGTAGGGTAGGGTTCCGTGAATATCAGGGTTTTTGCTTAACGGGTTCTATAAGGCTTGCTCAGCGGGATTTCGGGTGTGCTATACGATAGTCTTGGTAATCAGCCAGGCTTCCATGTTAAGGTGCTCTCTGGATTCAATTCCGTTTAGGTCCGGTTTTGGAACCTGGCCTTGATGTCTAGGATAGAAGTTTCGTTTAGCAACAGTTTTTAAAACCTGAAAGGGGTTGTTACAGAACCCCTATAGTGGCCCATCATACATCCCTTCAAACCTCCACGTGCCAAGGCCTATCTCCGCCCCGCAGCGCAGACGCCGCAGCGACGCGGCGCGAGAGGCTTGAACGCCTGCGGCTCTGGGCCGCCGGGTGCTGAGAGTCGCAGAGCGGGTTCTCTTTTGTAGGGGCCTTAATGATTAGCTTTAGGGCTTCTTAACAGTATAATTAAACAGAATCAAAGAGTCCTAAGGTATAAGTAATTATCTAGGCTTCCATATGCGATTGTGGACCCTCCTAGGATCTTCAGTATGCCTGTGGGGTACGAGTTTGGGATCCAGACAGGCACCTTGTCATACTTATAGAGAACTACCGAAAGCAGGTTGTCGACTATGCTCTCAAGACTCAACCTTAGTTTACCCCGTGTTTTAGCCGGTCTTGCCAATGCTTTGGGGCCCCTAAACCCTAAACCCTAAACCGTCATTTTCCACGATGTGGTCTCTGGGGTCATAAACTCCAAACCCTCGCCCTGCATACGTAGGGCACGGGCCCAGCCCCTGATTCAACCAGGCTGTCACTACTTGGGTGGTTGTCAAAATTAGGGGTCCCTTTTTGGGTACCTTAAATATTAGGTGCCGTATTTTCATAGGGACCCAAATGGGACCCTAATTTCGACAACCACCCACTTGTAGGGGCTGCCAGTTATCGTGCGGCCGGACGTACTTTCGGATACCTCCAGGGAACGCCCACTTCGTTTGGGTTGCCCTTAGTGCACAGGAAAACGGCGGCCTGCTCCGGCGTGGCGCCACGCCACGCGACGAGCTGCTGAAGGCGGTGAGGCCGGCTAGACGAAGGTTCCTACTTAATAAAACTACCAACACTATTTTGGGGGTACTTGTTACAATTAGAGTATAAGTACAAGGGTTCAGGGTTGAGGGATGAATATTTAGGGTGTCCTGGCGGTGGTGCTGTCTGACGGCCGATGGGGAGAGCAAGGACTGCTACTTGGAGGGTCGGGGCACTTAGTAACTGGTTATTTTAGGGACTTATAAGTACCATAACCCCAATTAGGGTCCCTTTCAGGGTACTTATAAGTCTACTTACTACCTACTTACTAAGTCCCCCGACCCTCCAAGTAGCAATAAGACGGGCCAACAGACCGCTCGACCTCTCCCGCAGAAGCGGTGTTTTTTCGAGGTACACTGTGTCTGATGGTTGTTTAGACATGTTGCTGATTGGAGCAAGAAGATGGAACCAATGCAAACATCTGCACCACCGGCAACCAACAATCCAACATCAGACTAGCCAACAAGCAGCAACCATCACGACCAACAAACAGCAGCTTCATTGACCTGCAAGCACTAGGACCCAGAGTAGGCCCTTATTCCCTTTTTGGGGGTTTAGGTTCCCTTATAACACCCTTTAAGCCAAAAAGGGCACCCTTAATTTTTATTCCTAGGTTACTCTTAGGTCTAGAATAACAACACCTCGGGTCGAGACCAAGAAGCTTCCTTTCCCCTCGAGGCTCGTGCTGGAGCCGGCGGGCAAGGGTGACACCATGTGGCCAGCTAAGCACTAGCCAGGGCACGGAATTCAGGATTTTTGCTTAGGATGAAGGCCTGTTAGGTTTGAAATGAGCCTCGAAGCCTACCAACAGAAACCGAACGAAGTTTGGAGCGCGAGCGATCCCCTCGCAACTTTCCAATTGTTTGTTTTAGTCATTTCAACCTAAACCCTGCCTGTAGTCTCCATTGTAGTCCCTTTCTGGTTAACCAGTTTCATGGTTAGGATCCTATAATAAAATATTCAGTTAATTAAAGAAGGAACTACAATGGAGACTATAGGTAAATCCTACCAGGACCCTCCTTGTACCCTCAAACAGGGGTATATGGTCCCAAATAAGGGGCATTTAGGGTCTCATAGAGGGTAGATGGAGGGTCTAGGTGTTCTTAGGGTTTAGGGTGTAGGGAACTTAGAGTTTCAGATTTTTAGGGTTTAAGGAACTTATAAGAACTTAGGGTTTGGGGTTCTCAAACCTGTCTGGCTAGCGAACTCAGCCCAGAGGTCAACAAGGACCTCAGCCTTGAGGCCTGCAGAGCCCATGAGGAAGAGACTTACTTTTCAACACCCAGAGCAGTAGATGCTCAGAATAGATCCTTGAAAGTTCTTGAACAGTCATGCTAGAATACATAGTGCACCTCTAACCCTATGTTTGATTGTTAGAGCCCGTATATGTCAGAGTTTAGGATTTAGGGTCTGCGCGGATCTTCGTCTGCGTGTCTGACTTGCCTTCTTGCGTTCTTACGTCGTTCCTGGCACACACACGTAAGTGACTCCGGCAAACCTCAGCTCTGGGATGCAGTTTGTGTCGAGATGCCTGAGCCCTAAACTCCAGCAAACCTGTGGCAAGAGGAGCTTAAACCCCAAATTTATAGGGTTTAGGGTTTAGGGCCCCAAATACCCTAAGCCCTAAACGACAACCTGCCAGCCTGGAACCTTCACCTCGGATAAGGCGCGACAGCGAGGTGGAGGAGCTTCTAAAGGCTCGGTCAGAGGGTTTAGGGTTTAGGGTGGTGCTCTTGGGAAGTCTGTTTTGTTTTCACTGTAATATAACTAACTTCAAGGGATTATGAAAGTGTCGTTGAATTGTCTCTGAAATTTTTGTGTAACACAAGTCCAAGTGGTTATTGAAATGTCATTCGTATTGTGATTAGATGGGGATTTAAGATTCCGGCTGGGCCCTCTACTCCAGAGTTTGGGGTTTTAAGGCTTGTACAATGTTCCAATACAAGGTTCCAAACAGCCTGATGCAGCTCGAAAGAATGAGTCGAAAAGGCCCTGAAGTTTGGGAGTTTGCATAGACCTCCTAATGCAGGCTACTTGTATCCCTTATGACGAGTTCCTAACCGAACATAGGTCCGGTCATTTGGAGAGTGGGTAGGGAGCCAGGGCAGTCGGGATTCAGGGCGTAGGAATGTGCCGCAGATCGAGGATTTCGGGACTCCACAGTAGTGCTGCAGTTTTAACGTAGCTGTGAGGGGTTACCACTACGAGTCCAAGCTTTTGCCTTCCGATCTGGTGAGCGGTTTGTACTTGTTTTGTATCTTTCGCAGAGCTTCCTTTAACCTCCGAACCCTAAGCCATTCCCCTAAAGCCCCATCACCCTAAAGCCTAAACCCATAAACCTGAACCCTAAACCCTAACCCAAGACCGGCTCAAGGTGTGGAACCCCGGGATGAAAAGGCAGGTCCTCCGCACCTCGCGGCTCTCAAAGGGGGCGCCCCCTGGCCTGAGACGAGGAGAAGGTTTAGAGTTTAGGAGTTTAGGGGTGTAGGGTTTTAGGGTTTAGGGTTTCGGGGTAGGGTGAGGGTCTGGGTTTTTGGGCACATAGCACATGGGCTTCGGGCTTCAGCTGAGGTTGATCACCTATGAGAACGTCTCCATCGTGCCGGGCAAAGAGCCACGCAGCATTTGGTAGCCTGCCGACATCCTCACCGCAGGGGTGGGGAGCTGGAAACCCATGTGGAGAGTGGACACAGTTCGTTTCACAGGGCGGAACCGACAATGCACCCCCAGACCTTTTCCGTGGATAGGAATATCCAAACGGCTGGGTTCGAGGCAGTAAGGACAACAGTACCTTTTCGGGGAATGGTGTTCTGCTTCATACTGTTGCAGGGGCTGTTTGGTTCCCTGTCCACCTTTGACAGCGATTCTCCCATCGATTTGTGGAGCCCGAGTCAAGCCGACCAAAAAGAACTCGCAGTCCTAATCGATCCTTTTCGTAAAGACAAACAAACCAATAGTACAACACCCAGAAGGAAAGGGCTTCCTCAAACCCTAAACCTTGAACCTGTAGAACTCCCTATAGAACCCACATGGTGGTTGTCAAAACTATGGTCCCTTGTTGGGTCCCCACTACAATACGGCACCTGCTATTTAGGGTACCCGAAAAGGGACCATAATTTTGACCCACATAGAGCTACAAAACCTTTAACCCATGTCTGCATCACCAGTTGCTTTGAGCAGTTCGACTCGACCAGGAAAATGGAAGCGGACACCCCTAAGCTCTTGCTGTGGCCGAAAGTACTCGTTTTGATATGCTGTCAAATTGTGGGGTGCAGGACTGATGGGTTCAGCTTTTCATGAGGTTTTTGGGTTATAATTCGGGGTTTCATGCCGACCGGGCAGGCTTCGCTGGTGCGGACATGACCGCTGGCATTGCTGCTCTGTCGCAGTGTTGTAGCAGACTCCCCGACATGTACCTACCAGGGTCGAAGAGGTTTTGCTTGAGTCAGGCTTTCTGATCAGAAGTGCACTGTGAGGAGATATCCATGCCAAAGGTTGCCTCGATCTCTCTCGTGATTGTTGCTTAAAGGTTTAGGGCAGTTACAAGTGTATGGGGTTCTATGTACCTTTTGCATAGAACCTTTCTGCAGGTGGTTCTGAGATGACCCTACATGCTTTTTGGATCTCTAGATCCTTCAACCCTAAACCTTAAGCCCAAAACCCCTAACTTTAAACCCCGAACCCTAAACCCTGATAATTAGAGCCCTTTAAAGGAACTTTTGATAGTACCCTTACAGTAACCTTGATGGATCTTTCGAGCCCTAAACCCCTAAACCCTAAACCCTAGCCGAAACCTGAACCGAGCCTCCTAGGCCCTGCCTCTGCGCGTGCGGCCGGGGGCCCCTACCCCGCGACGGCGTGGAGGCGCGAGGGTTTAGGGTTGTGGGGATTTAGGGCTTTAGGGGTTTAGGGTTTACGGATTTAGAGTTTCGGGTTAGGCGTTTAGGGACTGAGGGGTTTAGGGTTTTAGGGGTTCAGGGGTTTAGGGGTGTAGGCGTAGGGGTTCAGGGGTTTAGGGGTTTAGGGATGTATATAGGGTTTAGGGTTTGAGGGTTTAGGGATTTAGGATTTCGGGGTCAGGGTTCAGCTATTTATAGGGTTAAGGGCAGGCGTGCGACATCATGTGCACCTTGCATGCTGGGCCATACACGCGGAAGTCCACAAATCCATGTTGTGAAGGCTGAAGTACGATATCATAACAACCAAAGGTACCGAAACCCATGCAATCAACAGGACCAACCTCGGCAACATGGTCATCAACGACAACAACATCAGTAGCAACAGCAACACTAACAACACAGTTATCATCAACAACAACAACAACAGCAGCACCAACAATAGCTACAACAAAACACTGTGTTTCTGTGAGTAAGAGTGTTAGTACTACTAGTAGTATTAGTACAGTAACAGTAATGGCAATAGCTATAGTAATAGTCTTAATACTAGCAACAGCAATATCAAATGACACTAACTAACAATAGCAATAGTAACAATAGCAATGCAATAGTAATCGCAGGATAAATGATTATGTATCAAAAATAGCAATAACAATAAGATGAATAGTAGTAATAATGAGCCAACGAGAAAACAAGCAACAACAAAACAACAATAACGACAACGACAGCAACAACTGCAACAACAGCTACGACAACGACAGCAGCAGCAACATCAACAATAACAAGCTGTCACCATCAAGCAGCATAGAGGAAGCAACATACAGCCAACAACATCCAAATAATAAAAACAACAACAGCAGCAGCAACAGGTTTCAATTGGACGCTGAGCGAGCGCGCTCCCCGCATGACCAGCGTAACAACAACAACAACAACAACAACAAGACAACGAAATCAAGACCAATAACACGATTTTCATTCACACGCAGCGGGAGGATACTGTCTGAGGTGAAACTTAACGTCCACGCTTTGCGAGGGATCGACCTGCTGCTCTGCTTGCTACTTGCGCGGTCACTTCATGACGAGCCGTGCCTTAACACAGCACTCGCACACGCTCCGCCCCTCAAGGCTGCAAGCAATGAAGTCGGAATCGGACGTGTCTTCAGTGACTCGAGCTGCAGACTCTGGCACTAATGAAGTAGTTAACCGGCTGATTTGCAATGTATCGCTGACTGATTGGCGACGTCCATTTTGCACACTGCTGTCTCGCGAGAGTGTCTAGCCTCGCTGTGAAGGCTCGGTACGAACCACTAGCTCTATGTTATAGTAGAGGCGGTGAGGCAATGAAACACTCAGTAAAGGCAGGCCAGGCGCCATTTCCAGCCCGTTGTTGCTATTTGTAGATGGCGGAGCAACTCCTGCCGGACTTGTGCTGGTGACATGAAGCTCTCCTGTCCCTGGATGGGAGATCGTTGAGGTCACAGCCTTTGGCGGTGGTCCCAGGGGAGAAACTCCTCCCGGGACTCCACCTTTCACTGGCACTCCAGGTGCCTTACCTGGGCCCGGTGTCCGATCTGTGCTAGATCCACTTCCTGACAGGTTAACAGGCATCGGAGGCGGCGGGCCCTTAGGCCCAGCTGCTTTAGGGGCTGCTTTAGGGGCTGCTGTGTCTTCGGAGTCGGACTCCCGAATGGCGTCACTGGCTGGCGGCGACCTGGATAGGTGGGGCCGACGTCGCACTGGAGGAGGGGTTCGGGAGGTCGCTCTGCTGCCACTCTTCTTCGGTGTTTCAGGCATGGCTTCTACAGTCGAGACAGCTGGTGAGTTGAGCCTGTACGAGAAGGCAAGTAGAGCTTCCAGAAAACTTTTGGCTGACAACTCACTTGCAGATCCGGGCCCACGACTGCGCACGGAGCTTCACATGCGACCTCGGGGTATACTTGCTGTCTGGTGATGAAATTGAAGTGACCTTCAGCCTCATAACATAGATTTTTGCGTGAGCAGCTGCATTATCAGTGTGGGGAGGGACTCCACCATTAGGTGAGGGTCCTCACGATCAGAGCGGCCTGTTGTCGCCTCCGTACTTAGTACCTGATTTCAGGCTCTGGTAGTACTCTATGACAGAAGGGGGCACTTCGGAAGGGGTGAGAATGACGCCGTTCTTGCTACGGAAAAATTGCACCCCTACCTGCATGGCTCTGCGTGGATCGACCGCTACCAGCATCGACGAGCTATCTCTGAATCCAGAAACACCAGGTCTCCCATAGTCCCGATCCGAGACGAAGTGAACATGCTGTCGTCCCTCTCTGCCACGTCCGCCTTTGCCGCGGCCCTTGGAAATCTTGTTCTGAGGCAGAAGGCCTCGTTGGCGTATGGAGTCATACAAGGACCAGAATGTGCCATGATACAGCATTCTGGGGAGCATCTCCTCCGTGAGTTCCTCCAACACCTCATTGGAGTCCACATCAGAGCGAGAATGTCCTTGCAGAGCCCTGATGTACTTCTGGCCTTGGCAATCGCCCAGCTCGTACCTGCCTTTTGCGTTACTCCGAACGACCTCCATGAGGTCGCCTGCCGTGGCGTGCTGGGCCTGCACTCTTGGCCATCTCAGGACGTCCTCTAATTTGGCCCAACCAGCTGAAGTGACGCTGATGTAGGGTTTATGTCCGTGCCGGAGCGAAGCTGCTAGAGCCTTCGAGACTTCGAACGAGAAGCTGGTCTCCGGCTTCGTAGAGGCAGTGCAATAGTCCCCTAGATCGCCTGGTTGGCCCTCCCAGGCCACTATAGTGGAGCTACGTGGCGTTGTTGAGCTGTGGTCAATCTCTGACGCCATGGTCGGGGGAGAAACTCCACCCTGTGAGCTGGACGCCTGCTCACAAACCGGAAGGGGAGCAACTCCTCCTTCCTTGACTCCACTTGACGAGGCTTCGCCAGGCAGTTCGTATCCCAACGCCAAAAAGGATTCCCGTGCTTGTCTCAGTGGTATCTCCAACAAGCCACTCCACTCTCGGAGGTACTCACCTAAGGTGAGTGTCTCCTTGGTTGATATTTGCAGTAGCAGCGCTCGGATTTTGACTGCATCATAGGAGTATATCAGTTGGTTTGTTTTCTTACCACGTTTTTGCGATCCAGAGTGCGCAGCCTCCACCTCAAACATGGGCCGCACGAATATGTGCCGAGGTCCTATCCTCACCAGACAACTGTAACCGGCAGCAAGATGCCTGTTTGACATCTTGTGGAGATACACACCTGGTCGTGCCTCGAAGCTTCGCGTGCCGGAGAGGTCAGGTGTCGAAGGTAGTAGCCTGCCTGTGGCCAGTATCCCATGCAAACATTCCAGGTGTGTGCCGTGGAACGCAACCTCGCTGTCCCCTGCAGGAAGAATGTTCGGTGAAGAATACTCAAAACGAAACCACCCATTCTCCTCAGCTGTGGGATATCCAAGCTTCGGCTGCAGAGGCTCATTGGCAAGTCCCCGGCGAGAGGCCAGGAAGGTCTCCAGGAGAGCATTGGCTATCTCCGGGGAGGGTCGTTCCGCCTGATTGAGGCCATCTCGCAGCTGCTGAGTTACTGTCACCATAATTCGGTGATTGTTCAGGTCAGTGATGTTCCCATCACAGTCTGAAATCAGACTGGGAAAGGGCGTATAACCAGCTGACTGAAGAACTTTGATCGCAGCTTCCGTGATTGGGTCCCCCGAGGGAGGATCTCCACTCTTGGCCTTTGCTGCTGGGGGAGTATCTCCACCCTCGCTTTGCCCTGTACTTCTTTTCTTGGAAGGAGGAGGAGGGGGAGTGACTCCACCCTTTCCGCTTCCCAGCTCTTCCTGTCCACCAGTACCTTTAGAGACTCCTTTATATGCAGGATAGCTTTCGCCGTGAGCACGAGCGGAGCGCCTCCACTGGCGCAGGAAATTGCGATACGTGACATGCGGAAGTTGTTCACGTATCCGTCGCTGGCAGAATTCCTCGTACTCCGCTTGAAACGAGGGATCCTGTGTTGACTCAGGTCTGGACATGATGCTGAGTCTTGAGAGAAAGCTGCGGTTGTTGGCTCAAGCTGGCTTCTAAGCAGGCAGCTGGGCCTAGGCCACTGAGCTCCAGGCCACCACGAGGAGACCTGCATCACGGATGGTGGATTGCTGTTGGCTCAGTGTGGCTCAGTGCAGGCAGAATTATTGCAGGCAGCGACTCAAAGCTTTTAAAAACCCCTAGGGAGAGACTCCACCAGCTGTACACCCCTCGTTGGGGGAGAAGCTCCACCAACTAGGGGAGAAGCTCCACCTGTGACTCTTTACTAGTTCAAAAACCCCTGGGGAGTAACTCCGCCAGCTCTACGCCTAACGAGGGAGAAACTCCTCTATTTGTTACAGGAGCTCTTGCTTAGGGAGCATCTCCTCTTCTCACTTGGCTCAGGAAGTGGCGGCCATGAGGTGATTGTAAGATACCTCCCACGTCGCCGAGGCCAGGTTAAGTTTGCCGTCTTCAGCAAAAAACTGAGACCTCAACGTCTGCACATCAGCTTGATAGGCCTCTTGGTACTCAGCAGGGAGATATTTGGCGATGTATCCCGTGATATGGGATTCTCGTTCCATTATCTCCAAGTCGTACCGGTGGTAACCGAGGCTTGCTGGGGAAATCAGGTCTCCAGCGTGGATGCGAACCAGAGAGAGGTACTGCATCCCCTGTTCGACCAGGGCTCTTCGTCGTCTGTGCCGGATTTGTCCCCATTCATCGATGCCCGAGATGGAGTGGAGGTGTGTGAGCACCTGTCGAATCCCACCTTCCGGGAGTATCTCCACGGCAAGGTTCAGGATCTCATCCTTAGTGATGAGCCCAAGCCCCTTCACTCTCTCTAGCAGCTCTGTGAGCACGGCCCAGGGGAGTATCTCCACACCTTGGGACTTCTGGTGCAGAAAGTGCACCGCTGCTATCGTCGGGAGCAGCATCATGGCCAGTCGAGTTGGCGTCT